TCCATATCATCTTTTTGCAGTACCTGCGAAGTTAATTATTATACATTGATATCTCTTACAAACAACGTAAAGGATGCTTCTGCGATAGAAAAAGTTAATGGGCTGTAGTTTCCCTGTCCCTTAGCACGATCTTTTAACCAAACATAATTTATGAGATGGGGTGAGTTCTACATCTCTACCTTCTTGTTCTCAGTATTTCTAGAGGTTACTGTTTCTTCACAAGTGATGTGAAGGTACGGATTACGACTTCATAGTTGAAGTGATGCGCTTCTGAGAAGCGCGTTCTTCAAATAGTGAATTGCAAAGTAGCTATACCTGGTATTCAGGTATTTACTTCAAAAGAAACTTGTGTGGAACTACCTAGTTATAATCCAATTTCGGCAGAAGATTGTTGATTGAAGAATCTAACTAGAAAGGATGAGAAAAAGGAAAAAAGGAGGGGAAGATAGGTTTCTTTTGGGTACTGGGATACTAGGACTACTCTTACATGCATGTTTCAGCATTCTTTCTGTAGTCAATGTCTTCTTCCACTTCTTGAGTTTATAATACTTCTTGACTTCTCTTCTACTCTGTTAGTAGAGTTCCATATAAAAAAGGATAAAGGGGATACTTTTTTATGGTAAAAAATTCTGTCATTTCAGTTATTTCTCAAGAAGAAAAGAGGGGATCTGTTGTACTTAAGTATTCAATTCACCATCACCAATAAGATATGAAGGCTTACTTCACATTTAGAATTTGCACAAAAACGGACTATTTTCTACAAACTATAGATGAAGCTAAATGCAGACTATTTTCTACAAACTATATATAAAGCTAGATGCTGTGGATTGATTATGTTTTATGGTTGATTAGGTGAAACTGAATAATCATTCCGTGATTGTATGTTATGTTTTCAGTGTTTAGTTGAAGTTACATTTCAAGATGTTTATTGTTAGATTAATATTGTCTGAGATTAGATGTTGAAATTAGAATTTTCATTGCAGGAAGTACCAATTCAACAAAATAGGAGTAGTAATTTTCATTGCAAGCTTTTTATAAGTTCATGTATGTTAGATCAATTTTGTGTCTCTAGTTATTGTACACTTTGTTTCCATTTTCCAGTAAGCATGCATGTTAAATCTTGATTCACAGTTTTTGTATAAAGCCCAAATGATGTTGTTGCTGTTTTTGTGCTTCTAGTTCTTAGAGACGCTTCCCAGTCTTTTCAAATGTATATTGGACAGTTTTTGTTTCCCTAGATAATTTTGAGCTCTTATTTATTTTGGCAAGCAGAATTTTTCTGATACTGTATAAATTTGCGAACTGAGTCAGCCTTTCTTGTACAGCTACTGCAGTTATTCTCTTCTGTACCAATGTTCAAATGGCTCTCTTCTCAGCTCTTGCGGTCAGTTATGTAGGTAGGTTATCTTTCGTGCCTAATTTGTTATCTTACTCTTTATCTTCTGTTTTATTCCCAATTTCAAGAGCTTATGGCTAATCGATGCATTTGCAGTGATGATTCTGCATGCCTCATTTAGGAAGCTGACCCCCTCGAAACAATCAACTTCAAAAGATGGAAACAGAAGGGTCCTGAGAAGTTGATGAGTGGTTATTATTGTCAAGTCATACAACCACATAGTCGTCGCCTGGAGAGAGGGTAAACCGTGTTTACAAACTATAGCATACGAGTCTTGGTTCATGAGTACATCTCTCGGTTTGAACTCAGAAAATTCTTCGAGTTACAATGTAAGAAAAGCTTCTTCTTATTTCTTATTTTAAGTATAGGTTGTATGTATAAGTCTATACAGTGGAGAAAAAAAAGACTAGATAAGATTTTAGATGGCTGTAGAACCCTAAAAGAGAATTGGCACTGCTAAAGGCGTTGCTATTTTGCTATATGAATTAGTATTAGTAACACATTTGTTTATCTTCGACTGAATGATTTGCTTTCCTTGACATGCCATAATTAATACTTAATAGTATAAACTTTGTCTTTGCACTTAAACAAATGAGCTAATATTGCTTTAATAAATCATAGTTTGTGATTGGCTTAATACAAGCCCCTTAAACTTGTTAGGATATTTCATTTAGACATTCGAACTAAGTAATGTTTCAATTGAACATCTCAACTCCTTCTATGTGTTTTAGTTAGATATTTTTAATTCAAATTTTGAATTATTCTTTTCGTGTATATAGTTAATCACATAAAATATATTATTTCCTTTAATTATATGCATTTGCCTCTATTAGCTATAAAATTTCAAACATTTTTCTACTTGAGGTTGATGCTTATAATTAAAGGAGTTGTTATATTTTATGTGGTTAACTTAATTATCTAATAGATAAATTAAAATACACGTAAAATTTGAAGCAAAAATGTCTATTTGAAACACTTTATCAGGAGTTGAGGTGTTAAGTTAGAACAAAGCTCAGTTCAAATGTTGAGGTCTTTTTGAATAATAATAATAAGGATTAAAGTGTTTTAAGTTACTAGCCGCCCATGTTGACTCCCTCCCACCGGGGGCGGATTTAAAGGGTCAAGAGCGTGTTCATCCAAATCTCTTTGATAAAAAATTATATTGTATATACAAGGTAAAAAAAAAAAATTAAACATTTCAAGTTTAGGATTGAAATTTATTTTGATATTTCAAATTAAAATTCTTCGCACTATATTTTTATTTTTCAAATTCTTTCTTGTAATCTATTCAAACACCTTAAAATTATGATTTACTATAGTATGTCCAGGTGCAAACCAAGAGCAGAAGATCATATTTGGTGTAATTTTTGTTATATTGTTTGTACAATCTTTGCTGTTGCCAAGGTGACTTTTTGGTGCCAACTTTAACTTTACTTTGAGATAATGCATTGATTGCAAGTAAAAAGACAGAGGAGTTAACAGTGAACTTTGTCTCTTTATGGAGTACCCCACGATGACTTTTAGGACAATTTTGCTATGATTAAAATGCTAAATGATGATTTCCATTTCAACTTTTTAATTTTACTATATAAAAACTATTTTATTTTGCATAAGTACTATAGAAAGTTTATCTTTTTGAAAAAAGTATCATGCCTAGATAGTTATCTTAAGCTAAATATGTCAATTTTGAAAATGTACATCTAGACATCATAACTTAGTTTAAATTGTTCGGTAAACACACTTTCTCGAATGTGTTTTCTCAATGTTGGAGTGTTAGCTGAGCAAACTTAAATCAAGTTAAATTTACCTAAAAGACATGTAATCTTTTTTTGGGTAACAAGCTTAATATGATATTCTAAAATACTGTGTTATGTTATAATCGATTAGATTGTGTTAATAATATAAAAATTATTTAACTTAAGTCCATTTTTTATCAAATGTGATCATGATCAGACTTAACTCTTGTGCTTGCCAGCCCATGACATCTATTGAGTGGGGAAATATGTAAAAACTAGACTTCCTTTTCAATACAAGTGGCCAAAAAATATATGGTCCCATCCCATTAGCAATAGTGTAATAAACATTGCCCAATCCTTAGGGTTCAATGACTCCATCTTTTTATACTGTAATTTTTCAATAATTTTGTTCATAATTTGCAACTACGTTGTTTAGATGGTGGGATAAGAATAATAATTTTATGATAAAATATAAAATTATTTTATTTTGCATTCGGTTACGGGTATTAATTAGTCGCAAAGTTGTTTTTCCTTGTTTTATTCCACTATTTAAATTAAAATAATGGAATTAATTGTCCCATATAGAAGATAGGACAACTAAACCCAATTTATAAAATATCCTTATTTATCCATCACCAATCAAACGACCTAACTTACTAAACTATTAAGTTTTGCAGGGGCGTGAGAAAGAGACAATTAATTTGAAATACTACTTGTAAAATTTATTTTCTCTAACCTCGATTGAGGAGGTCATTTTCCTCTTCTTTTTTTTGAATTAATCTTATTTTTCCTAAATAAAATGTTCTTAAAAAAAATTGAATAACCAAATATGAAAAGATGTTTTCCTTTGTATCAAACACACTATACACTGTTATATGTATTCGACAGAATTCAGTAACATTAATTCAAATCATATAATAAATATTTAGAAATTCACTAATTAAGTTCCTATAATGAATTGTGAATCCAATAACATAAAATGGGTTAGAAGTTCAACAACAAGCGAGGAATCTAAAACACATGAAACTTAAATTTTAAATCTGCCTCGACAATGTATATACCGAAAACTTAGAATGCCCCACCTCACGTTTTTATGCTATATACATCTTCATTATTGAAAGTGATTGAAATGGAATCTGTGAAAGAATTATTGCAGCTTTGTTCATTTCAACAAATAAAACAAATAATTGAGCAGAAAGGATGGCAAAAAGAAAAGTTATAGTACTATAATAAAGCGTATATTTTTTTATACACAAACATAGTGGACTAATTTAATCTTGGGTTGGATTAGTTTCCCATATGATCACTCTACTTTTATTTTACCACACTAAGATCAAAAATTAATTTTACTATTAAAAAAAATATTCAACTTTTTTCTTAAATAGCACAAAAAAAATCACTTAACTATTTTCTGTAAGAACACAATCACTCTAATATGCCCAAGTATCACAAAGAGTCACTAAGCAATTCATTCATAACAAAAGAAAAATCACTCAACTTGTTTAATTAAATATCATATAAAATATATCTTTATTTTTCCCTAATGAGTAATTTCAGCGATACATAACGAAGTTAAGTGATTTTTTTATACTTTAATCACCTAATTTGATTTTTTTTCGTCATGAACGACAATTTAATGACTTTAGTATGATAATTTAAAAGTTCAGTGATCATACATAAAACTAATCTTAATTATGTATCTGTGAAAGTGGTCACTACTGCTTACATTAAGATAGACTATATTTACATCACTCCTTAATATGCAATATTTTTCAAACCCTACTTGAACGTGAAATACTTTGTACATCAGACTGTCTAATTCCAACTACTAGTAGTTCTTACTTATTTAAGACAAGTAGAAGGGGTGAGGTGAAGAGAGAGAGATAGAGATAGAGAGAGAGAATGAAGTTCTTGTTCCAATGTCCATGTTGTTCTTGTTTTTGCTTCATGAAGCCCCAAAAAGGTAAACCAAAAGCCAAAGAAGAACCTAAATCCAAAGTTGAACCAAAACCTGAAGACAAGAAGGTGGAAGAAGCAAAACCAAAAGAGAAGGAAGAAAGCAAGCCACAATGAAAGAAGAGGAAATGGGATAATGCAACTATATATTATTCTAATACAAGTAATATTGTTCTTCATTTACTTAAATTTACTTCTAGTTTGAAATATTTATTGTGTGCAATTGCAATCTTAACTCTTTGGAGAAAAAACTCATCCTAAATGTATTTTTATAATAAAATATTTGCACTTTATTCACTATGATATGCAAACCTAGTCTTCATTATTAACTATGTTGCTTAGATCCTTTGAATATATCGTCATCACTCATGTCAAATTCTAAAAATATGTATAACTTTTAAATGATTTGATGTACGTACATTCAAAAGAAATTTTGAAGGATATGAAAAACATAATGAGGTTAAATTTCTCTGAATTAATTTCTCAAATATTTATCGAACTTGGAGTTTTTTCTATATAAAAAAAAAAACTATTTTTTTGTCGGTGTAAAGTCACTCAACTTAAAAATATGCTCTCAGAAAATAACTTGACCCAGAAAAACCATATAAGCAAGCCAAAATACCATGTTTGTATATACGAGTGATTATTATTTTTATACAAATCAAGGCGATAAAAGGCACGCATTAATATTTAGATAAATTCAATTAATTTATTTATATAATTAAATTAATTTAGATCAATTTCAATTAGTTTTTTTTTTTGGATATTACTCTACACTAAATCCTAGTTCATGCCTATTTAGAGGTAATATATTCCCTTGAAAAAGGCATGCATTTAGAATATTTATTTTTTGGGTATTCACAAAGAGAGCAGGAAGATATCAAATTTTGTCTTTCTCAAGGAAATCTTGAATATCCCATAAACTCTGGGAATAGTCCTAAAGATCATTTCAAGATGTGGTCGAACTCTTCTTGACAATCAAATACTTCAAGAAGACCCACAAAATCCTTTCATGGAGATCAAATATTAAGATATGGTCGAATTCTTCTTGACAATCAAATACTTCAAGAAGATCCACCTTTCATCGAGATCTAATAAATCTTAAGGAGATCCAAATTTGAGAAATACACTATTAAAGCCATCGATTCACGGAGAAAATTCAGATAGGAGAATCAAGGGAACAAATAGATTTGTAATTATATTGTTTTATCAATAAAACTATGTTTCTTGATATATATTTCATTTGTAATTGTAGTTTATTTTTTATCACTTTAAAATTAGGTGCAACCAATAATCTTTCCACATAACGAACTATCTCCTCGCATTTTGAATATGAGTCTTTTTTAGCAATCATTTTAGTAATTAGTGCTTACAATTAGTTTTTGTTTCAAATTAAGAGTTATTTTAGCAACAAAAAAAACTCAAAATAATTATCACCAAATATCAAAGATAAAAATTAGTATGTTTCTCTTACTAAACTATTGTGCTTTATCTTTTTAACGGTGCTCAATTTCAGAAAATATTTATTAGATAGAGATGACTTAGTAACTTATATATCATATTTATTAATTTTTTGATAAACATAATTGTTTTGAGAATAATATTTTGGGACGGAGAAGGTATTGAAGAAAGAAGAAAACAGGAGAATAATCACATTTCGATTGTTGTGAACAACTTTTTCAAATGCCAACAATTTTGTGGACTGTGATAAACACACCAATTTGAAAAATTCAAAGCCCAATTTTTGGTGGGTCTTCTAAAATAAATTTGAGTTCACCACTCAAGTCCAAAATAAAAAATCTCAAAAGCCCAATTTATGAAATTTTTATATATATCAAGTAATATAAGTGAAATATGGGAAAGAAGAATAGAAAATAAAAAGTATGATAACTAAATGAATAATGCTAGAAAATAAATGTAAATGTAATAAATAAATTAGGCGGGAGAGCAGATCATGCGTTAAATAAAGCAAATAATTAATTAAAGATAGGTGCTAGTACCAACCATATGAAATAAAGGCAATAAAAAGATAAATTCGTAAAGAAAAAAATAGTTTTGAAATTAAAATTTGATGCTATTATCAAATCAACTTTAAAGACTACAAAGAGGAGAGCAAACTCTCACCAAGTTTTCTTATGAGAGAGAACGTTGTTTGAAAGAAAAATAATGTGTCTTATTATAAAATAGAAAGGAAGGCTATTTATAACCAAAAACTATTACAATAAGTTATAGTAATGCTACAATATTACCCACAATAATTTTAGTCCATATTTGTTATTGTATCATATGACATCCTTGTGATATCGAATTAGCCTAAAATTTATATCTTCTTTTATCCTCATACTTCGATTTCTTCGACTCCTATGAATGATTGTTAGAGAACTCAACTTTGATTTGTTGGAGAATTTTTCCGGTTATTAGATGAAATCTCTTTTGCTACTCGAGCTAGCTAGTTGTGCAGTTACAATTGATTTGTCACATAAGCTTTCGATGGATTCTAACTCTTGTACCATTTGTAAATGACATTGGAGAGATAATCTACAAACTTTTGAAAATATATCCATGAAATATGAAATCTATGTAGATAAATCATTCTTGTTCACAATTGAGATTTGTACATATATATATCAAATAAAACAACAATATCTAAGATGATAATTTGTTGACTATTATGATTATACTAATATGTTATAATTGTTTGAAACTTAATATGCACATGTTAGTTAAGTAATAGCCTTTTAGGGTATTTAATTGATCAAACTTAATTTATTCGAGATGTTGAATATAGTTGAACTCAGTTTTCCATCATATTCAATTCGAAACTTAAAAATCGATTATACATGCCGTTGATTGTTTATTCTTTATGGGACGAGTTTTAGACATGATCAGTTGACAATTTCTTAAATTTCAAATCTCATATAAGATATTTAAAATAATATATATATATAATTTAAGACCATAAAATTATATATTTTTATTAAGTTGAGTAAAAATAAACAAATTAAAATGAATATTTTTTTTAATATTTATAAATACCCATAGCACTATTTTTTTTTTGATAATATTGTGGATAACTTTTGTCCAAGTAGATATTCTATCCATTTGATTCCAAACATACTCTAGAACATTGCAATTGGTACACACCTTATTGGTCCTCACAGTTTCCCAAATTGTTTTTCTTATCCTACCTTCGCTTTTCATTATTATTGGGATAATGCAAAAAAAAAAAAAAAAAAAAACCATTAAATAAGTTTACTGAGTAAATAATATCAAAACAATAATTTAGATGTGCAACTAATAATTTCACTATTATTTTGGAGTATCTCTATATCTTATCCCTTTATTTATTTTACTTTTCGTTTAGTTTTATCGCTTAATCTAATTACACATGAACTTCAAAAAATGAAGAAAATAATTTAGGATTTATAATTTTAAATATTTCATGAGATTACTATGATTATAAAAGTATTTAAATTATTTTAAATATAAAAATGTAATTCTTTTTAAAATAGAGTAATAAGAATATAATGTAATATAAAATAGATTAATAGAATAAGATCTATTGCCTTACTTAGCTTCAAATTTCAATTTATATGACATAATTTGAATCAATAAAAAATTAAAAGTTTTATTTAAAATCTGTAGGTTTAAAATATCAACATTTATTTGATGATAAAATATTTCATTAAGAGCCAAATAAGTGTAAAGTTAATAGAGTCCTTAATATTGTTAACACAAAATATTTTCTTTATTTTAACACAAATTTAATTATTTGCTCTATTTCAATTTATGTGAGCATTTTTTTTTACTTTATCACAAAAAAATAAAATAACTTATACTTAATATTTTACTATCCTAACTTACGTCACACACATTTTTTTAATCTATTCAAAATAATGACACATTACTATAATCGAAAATAATTTTATTTTGAGATTTGTTTTGAACTATAAATTTCAGCCACCGCGTTCATCCTTTTTATAAAAACTTTTTTGTATCACTTAAATAGTGTCACATAAATTAAAATCGAAAGAAGTAACAATTTAATTTTAAATTCTCATTTAATCCTTTGCTAGACATAATAATTGAAGAAAATAATATTTTGGAGCAGATATTTTTTCCTCATTACAACGGTAACCATTATCTTAAGTAGTGCACAACTGCACACTGCACACAAAGTCTATATAAACTTTGTTGTCTCCCTTTTAACCTTTCATTTCTTTCCACTTTTTGTTTTTCTAGACTTCTCGTGAAGAACTATTTCCTTTTCTTTTTTTTTCTATTTCTCGTGACTCTTTTTTAGTGTATACTTTTATCACCACACAAAAAAAGAGTCATATTGAACTCCATTTTGAAACAAAGAGAAGAAAAATACTGCCCATGGCTCAGCAAAGACATGTTGTAGTGTTACTTGTGTTGGCTTGTTTGTTTACATCTTCATATTCTTCTCAATATACTGTTGGTGGCAAAGATGGTTGGGTCCTTAACCCTTCTGTTGATTACAACACTTGGTCTCAACATATGAGATTCATAATCAATGACTCTGTTTGTAAGTCTTCTCCTTCCTCTCAAAAGTCAAAATACTGTTATTTTTGAAGAGTCCGAGCAATAGTATTTGATGATATTTGTTATTTTTTGTGTTTTTAGTGTTTAAGTATAAGCAAGGAGCAGATTCTGTGTTGGAGGTGAGTAAGGATGATTATGACAAGTGTAACACTGGCAATCCAATTAAGAAAATGGAGGATGGAAACTCCATTTTCACGTTGGATCGTTCTGGTCCTTTTTACTTTATCAGTGGCAACAAAGATAACTGTGATAAAGGCCAAAAGTTGCAAATTATTGTTATCTCTGTTAGGAACCAAACTCCGGCACCGGGAGTTGCTCCACCTAGTAACGGATCAACTACACCGTCACCCACGGGTTCACCACCATCTACTGGAGGTATGCGGGATCAGAATTTTAATTTTATTCGTTCAATTTTTTAGATTCTTAGTATGTTACATGAGTCGATTGACCTTACGAGATCAATGCAGGCTCCTCTCCGGCAGCTTCTCCGCCTAAAGGATCGTCTACACCTGGTACACCGTCACCCACGGGTTCACCACCATCTACTGGAGGTACGCCGGATCAGAATTTTAATTTTATTCGTTCAATTTTTCAGATTCTTAGTATGTTACATGAGTCGATTGAACTTACGAGATTAATGCAGGCTCCTCTCCGCCTAAAGGATCGTCTACACCTGGTACACCGTCGGCACCTTCAGCTAATGCTCCGGCAGGATCATCTACACCGGGTGCGTCGTCACCTAATGGGGCACCAGTATCTACTCCTGCAGGTAAATTATAAATGAATTTAGAATTTCAATTTGATAGATTCAATGTTTAATTTCGTTCGATTTTTAACGTATTGAACGTAAATTGAATCATATAGTTTATCAATCTGTTCAGGTAAATCACCAACCTCATCACCTACACCTTCCGGTTCAACCGCATCTCCACCAGCACCTGCGACCGGAGGATCCGTAGCTCCGGCAATGTCTCCGGTAGCAAATGGACCGTCAACTAGTACTCCAGGTTCTTCTTCACCGGTGGCAGGCGGACCATCGTCTGGAAGCGGTATTGCACCGTCGGCAGGCGGACCATCTGGAAGCGGTATTGCACCGACTGCAGGCGGACCAGCTGGAAGTATGTCACCGGGACCATCGGCAGGAGGATTAGCAGGCGGACCATCGGCGGGAGCGCCGGGAAGTAGTGCTTCAGGTTCCGGCGGCAGCAATACTCCGGCGGACATCAATTCGCCAGCTGGTGCACCAGAAAACCCAAATTCATTTGCAGTAAAGGCATTTACTCCATCAATTGTCCTTGTGTCAGCCGTTTCACTCGTTTTGACTGTGGCTTTGGGAGAATTTATTATTTTACCTTAGGGTAAAATTACTGGATATTACTATATTTAATTTGTGCTTTTTTTTCTTCTGTATTTTGTTTTAAATTTCTTGAATAATTCGGAGATTATTGGAGTGTGTTTAGATATACAAGAGATGTATTTAATTTTTATTTTTATTTTTTTGCTTTTAATTTTTGTGGGTGAGACTTAAAATTTGAATTTATGTATGTATGTATCAGTTTAATTCTAGTTTTTGTTTTGTGATGTTTTTTTTTTCAGAGAATTTTTTTTATGTTGCTCAAAACATGCACAAATATAACTTATCATCCTTCTTTAAAAAAAAAAGTCTATTTAAGTCTTGACTATCGAACTACGAAGCTATCAAGTGTTTCCTCCTTCAAAAAACTTGAATTGTCTATCAACAACCCAAAGTCTCTTGTGAAATTCTTAAGCGAGACAACTCCTTCATTTTTATTGCCAAAATCAAAATCTCGATTCACATCGTCATAATCTCCCTGAAACATCTATTAAAATCTCTTCTAAATATCTATTGCTTCAAAATTGAAGGAAAAGAAATAATTTTTAAAATAATATCAAAGAATATAAATAATCCTCATATAAAAAATTAAAAATATAATAGATTATCTGAGATGTGCGTAAAAAATATTGCTTAATCGACAAACGATCGTAGTACAACTACTTCCCCATGGGAGTTGTAGAAATTCGTATAAAGTCAAAGTCATGCAATACGTTCCAATATAAATTCATTAACGTACGTAATTTTTGGTGTAATAATAATAAGATGACTTGACTTGACTTGAAGTGGTTATTTCCATTATCTTAAAATAAATAGAGGGAGTATAATTTTTTGTTGACTAGCCTTCCAAAAATTAATGTGATTTATTGCTGATATAAATGGTCCAACTACAACAAAGGTGTAGTATGAAACTGCTCCATCTGTCACAACGTTTTGGAATTTAATTCTTCTCGAAAAAATTAAAGTGAACATTGTGATTTTTCTTTCAATTTTATCGTTAAAGTTATTAGCCTTGAAAATATAAATTTGATCAATATAGGAAAATTAAATGATTAATTCATAATTACCAGTCAATTTAATTAATCAAAATAAATTAATTTATGTTCATCAATTGAAAATTTGACTTTAAGAAATTACTAAATAAGGGTATAATAATAAACATACATAAATTTTTTTTAAAAGAATTAAAATCTAAAATAGTGACATATAAATAGAAACTGAGAAAGTATTAAAAATATTTTGCTGCTTTAATTAACCAGCCACTCTAAATTTAATGTTGATTAATTGCTCACATATGATGTAGCAAAAAATAAAACGGTGCAAGAATTACTCATATTATTTCTTCCTTGTACTCCTTCCTTTTCATATTATTTGAATTATATTAAAAAAGATATTTTATTTGTCTAATTTAAAAACTTAAGTAAATGTTACTTATTAATATTTATCTTTTTACAAGTTTTAGCATATATCTTTTCTTTTTATCCTTAATATTACATAAAATACTACTCTTTTCGTTCATTTTATATGTCTATTATATTTTTATTTGTTTAGTTTTAAAAATTAAGAGATAATTTATCATTTATTTCTTAATTTTATTTTTATTATTAATTATAATTATTTATCTAAGCATTGAATTTATTATATTCAAATGGTGATATGATAAATTGTCTAATTGATCCTCGAATAACGTGTCAAACAAATTGGAAGGGAGGTAAAACTTTTCTGATTTTCTCCATGGAAGGTGCTTATCAATTTTTCCATACCACACACTTGTTAGTTGGTAAGTAGTAACATTAATTAGCCTATACATTGATTTTTTATTAAAAAAAAATAAAATTGATGTCTGATATTTATATTGGAGTCTGACTATTTAGAAGTCGTGTCATGTAGTGCTTCATTCGGAGGGAAGCGTTCGCTAACAATATTTTTTTCATACCTAGAACTTGAATTTGAGATCTTTGATTAAGAGAGAACCAGTTTCATGATTCACTATACCACATCGTTTGGTGGTATGTTTTTTGCATTCACTTCTCTACTTACCCTATCTTACTATTGTATGAATTGATGTATTTTGCTGTAATTTCCATTTAGACGTAAGAAAGTACATTTTAAAAAAATTGGTAAGTAATGTGGTTTATAGCCTAGGTTTATATGCAATGACGGATCCACAAATTTAATTAAGAGGGTTTGAAAAGGGATTTCTAGATAATTTTTGAAATTTCTAATCGTTGAGACAACATTATATATATAAATTTTAAAAATTACGTCATATATACAACGTAATCTCTACCTAAATAACTTTTTTATTTTTTATGTTACACGAGGAAGGAGAATATATGCTACTTGTATATAATGGAATGATATTCCTACCTTTGTGGTGGAACTTGGATATCAACTCAATATTAATATGAAATTATCTAAAAAGAATTATCAAATCCTTGAAACTTGACAATTCAAGGGGAATCCAATTCTCTGCTCTATAAAAAGGTATTACAAAGCATTTATAAATGAAAAAGAATATTTGTTAATTAAAAGTTAAAAAAAAAAACATTTTTAAAAAAGTAAGTAAAAGTCTAAAACATTTACTTAACTTTAGCAGGGAACATAAGTAAAAGTAGAAAAGCACTAGAGAAATACCATTTTTTCTGTATTATTAATTGTCTCAAATGAAAGTGGGTGCTAATAAGATCTTTTCCAAAAATATAAACCCCCACCTAACACCCTTTGCACCAAATTTGGATTTCAAAGTGTATTTATTTGGGCTGTCTATCGATTCGATTTTGAAGTTTATCAATTTGACTTATCGGTTATTGATTTGTAGATATACTAAATTGTTATAAAATTATTAAGATATTATTTCATCGGTTATTAGTTATTTCATCTTTTATCCGAGATAAAATAATACATAGATTTCCTCATAACTTGTACATATATAAGTTATGAGGATTTCTAAATTGTCAATCAAACATTGTATTAATTTCATACATGAATAATTTATCTCCTATCTACCTACCAAATATTATAGATATTAAAATTTTCAAATAAAATAAAAAAATGACCAAACGTCCCCTAATAAACATTTTGAATATAAAGAGAACTAGACAAACGGCTCATATTTATTTATAACCAGAAGCAATAATATCTTTGTACTCGACATGCATCCTTTCAATGATTTGGACATTGCAATGGGACTGAGTTTGTTACACATGGTAGCAACAAGGTCCATAGAATTACTAATATCAACTTTACAAGTGGACAAATATAATTTTTTTTTAGCTAATTTCGAAATGAATTTTAGAATAAATTTATTCCACATTTCACAAAGATAAAATTACTGAATAACTTATTTCAAGATTATAGTATTATTTTTATTTTATACTGACAATGAAATAACAATACTTGAATAATTAATTTCGAAATAATTCAACGTAAAATAATTTATTTTCGACCAAACGAGCCTATGGGTAATAAATGGGGCGTCTCGACTTGACGAATTGTCATAAATGATACCCTTTGACGTGTTCCTTCCTATTTGAACTGTCATACACTATTCATTCATCTATAACACAAAAAAACAACAATGGGATGTGTCAATCAACAAGAGGTCCATATATGAAAGGGAGAATGCTTGTATATATGTAAACAAAATGACAAAAATGGTACATTATGTTTGAGGCATGTTTTAAGTAAGTTACCTAATTATAAGTTTGATAAAAAATTTAGGTGTTTAGAGACGAAGGCGAAGCCATGAGGTTTATGAGTTTAGAATTCTAGATCTTTTAAAATAATGGCCTCTAAATTAATAAATTAATTATGAAATGAATTTTTAAGACATGTTTGAACTAAACATAAGTTAACCTAGACACCCTCAAAATATGTATTTCATAGAAGAAAACAAATTCACTAGAACTAGAATACTGATGTGATACTGTATTAATTAGTAATGAACATTATTGTTTACTAATTAACTTAATAGATTAAGAATGATAGTTTGCAAAAGCCTTCACAATAGTTGAAGATGAAAAGCTTTCGTAAAGAAAAGAATATAAAAACCACCAAATAATGTATTGCAATATATGAGGCAGCTGCTTTCTTAATAAGAGGTTTCAGGTTTGAGACTGAAGTATAGAAAAATTACTGATACGAAATACTTTCCTCCAAATTAAGGTCCTATATATTACGAATTTGAATTAATCAAAGCTTTAATACATATATCAAATGAGAAAAAAATAGTTCCCAAAATAGTATATAAAAAAAAAAAATCATTTTCTCAAATATGTGGTATTGGTTAGTTCACAAGAAGAAAATATCTCAACTTAAAGTAGAACTTTCCACCCACAGGTCACAGCCACACAACAGTGTACGTGACCACGAGGTTTTTCTTTTCCTCTTCCATCTTGTTTTGTTGTGCCAACGCAGATTTTGCGAGTTCAGTAGAATTTAATATATTTTTGATTGACTCATATATTTATATATAGTAGTAAATAGACAAATTTGATTGAATTTGAACGAATCAAAAAAAGGATATATTAATGAACTCAAACTTAAACAAATTGAACGAGTTATAATTTCATATCTATTTTTGTCGACTATGCTCAAATGTCTTTACGTACCTACTAAGTTTAAGTTCAACGTGTATATGCATTAAATTTGGAAGTGGGGACGATAGAATATGTTGACTGCTGACTAATTGTTTAATATTGACAATTTGGCAAAATCTAAAAGTTCTTGCTGTCGGTAAACCAAATAATTGTGTATGTATGTGTTATTATAAAAAGAAATTTTTATTTTTATTTGATCTTTAACAATGATAGTATGAGACATATATTTGGGTTCTTGAGATTAAAAAGATATTAATTTGTAGGGTTCGATATTCATTCCCTACTCAAATAGTTTGGATTGTGATAAAAAGGTCACAGTATCCATGTAAATAATATAATGGAAAAACTATATAAATTGGACATAATCCAATATATTTATTCTGATTGAAACCACAGCCCAAACTATTTACATGTATGTAACCTTCTGCTATTGGTATCTATATACTTTGATGATATTTATAACTATGATAGTATCAAGCAGTAATAATTGAACAGTCTTTACACTAAAACATTGCATCTTCCTCCTTGATGCCATTAGAGTATATATCAAGGAGTAACTGAGTAGTATGTTCACTGAAGCACTGCATTTTTCTTTTTGATGATATCAAAAAGTAATAGTTAAAAGT